GTACACTCATTACTTACCTTAAAATATGTGTAATCTTAATGTAGGGTGAAAGGCGAGTACTTACTGTAGGAAGTCAGGTGTGGTAGCTCCCACACCTACACGAAATATACAATTGAAATTTCAAGTGCCCCAGAGCGATTATTATTACCATTGACATATCTTGGTTACTGAGTTTAATCATTTCTAACAACTAAACATAGATGCCATCATAAACGAGAGATGAGACACCTAGAATGTAAAGAGATGAACACATATTAATACAATGGAACTTCTACTTGCGAGTTTAATCCGTTCCATGACCTTGCTCACAACTGGATTTGCTCGTTTGCAGAGTCAATTTTCCTCATTTAAATTAATTGAAATGCAATTAATCCGTTCCAGTGGAATTCTGTACTTCAATAATTTCGCTAATATCAACTCTACGGCTTATTTATCTATCTCACTTCATCTAATATGACATAATAAACAATATAAATAACATAGAAACCTGATATATATACTCTAAAATGAATATGTCATTCATGTAGTGGTATGGGCGGTGTCGGCGGTGGACGAGAGTTTGTCTGGACACCAGGCAAAATACTTCATGAATAATTTCGCTAATATCATCTATACGGCTTATTTATCTATCACAGTTCATCTAGTATGACATAAACAATATGAATAACACAGAAACATGATATATACTCTAGAATGAATAAAATGTCATTCATGTAGTGGTATGGGCGGTGTCAGCGGTGGACAAGAGTTTGTCTGGACACCGGGCAAAATTCTTCATGAATAATTTCGCTAATATCATCTATACGGCTTATTTATATATCACAGTTCATCTAATATGACATAACAGACAATATAACACAGAAACACGATATATACTCTAGAATGAATAAAATATGTCATTATGTAACAGGTGGAGGCGGCCACAACCGCTCCCTCTTTGTTGTGGTAAACACTGCCATCTAGTGACGGCCTTTTGAAGCCGTCTATTATTATAATTATTATATGTAGTACATTATTATTATATATGTATTATTATACATATTATATTATTATTATTGTATTATATTATTTTTATTATATGTATTGTTATTATTCATATTATTATTATATATATTATCATTATTATTATTATTATTATTATTATTATTATTATATAAATTATTTGTAACTTTTATTCACACAAAAAATATAAGATTTACTGTTATTCCTTACTGCAATAATTGTATAAATATGTCAACCCATTCACGACTGCATATTGGAATGGACATTTGTTTACACTGAAACAGCCAAGCAATGGACCATTTCTCCTAGGTTGAGCTCTATTTCAAGGTACTTTTCGTCGTGAAAGCAATCAAAATCATATCTATTTCTGTAATTTATCTTCCATTCTATCAAATGAGACCAAAAAAAAAACAAGAATACAGCCATAAAAACCATTCGAAATTACCACTAAGGGGTGGCTAATTGCTGAGAAGTGAACTCCATTATTTATGCTTAGATTTCTTTCATTTTTGGTGTACATTAAGAAGCATCTTTCCATCATACATTGCAAAAGTTTCAATAAGATAGCCCAACAAACAAATGAGATACAATTCCCGAGATCAAGAGCAAGAGCCCCTCACCAGTGTCAAGGAACCTGCCTTGAGGTCTGCTCACTTGTGGAAATTTTGCTCGCGTATGGAAGCAAAAAATCGACCCATCGACTGCTCGTATTTGGAAAAACTCGCACGTGGACACGCTTGCAAGTAGAGGTCCACTGTATATGTATGATTATGGTTCATACAAGTTCATTCCTGCATATGTTTGTGAAACTTTTACCACAATACAAACACCTTACACTGTGTACAAGTGTCTTCACATTGGTGCAGTAACACTCCCATTTTCATGCAACACACCATTTTTTGAGGGAATGACACTACAAGTGAAGGTATACGAAAGGAATAATTTCTACAGTTACCTCCAGTAATAATATTGTGTGCACCTTTTTTCTGGTGTTGGACTCGAGAAAACAGGATTCTTGCAGTCACTCTTAACAAGTCGCCCGGCTACCACATCTTGTATTTATGTCAATTTTTTCTGCTGCGGGTTAATGTATTATGTTTATATGTTATATAATGTGTTTCTTATATTATTTGAAAGAATTTGAAAATGTTTATATTAACATATGACATTTAAAGCACCCCATAGAGATTATTATTAATAATAATAATGTGCCATCAAGACTAGTGACAGTGGTTTTAGTGTGTAGCTGCACGCCAGCACAACAATAAGCTGAATAATAGATTCAAAGGAGGATACCAGTGAATGTCAGGAGGATTTGGAAAAGCTAATGTAATGGTTCAAAAAGTGGTAAATGCAGTTCACTTTGGAAAAGTGCAGAGCCCTAATCCTTGTACATGTAAATGAAAATAACTCTTACATGTATGAACTAGGTGATGTAAAGCACCATCATACAGAATGAGAAAAGATTTGGGAATCATAGTAAGCAGAAATCTGAAGCCAAGACTACAGTGCATAAGTGCACAAAATAAGGCTAACAAACTACTTGAATTTATATCCAGAAGTATTGTTCTAGGAGTAACAGGAGTCTAAAGGTTATTCTATCGCTCTACAGTATATCTTTAAAAAACAGAACACAGGACTCTGCCTCTATCATGCTTCGATTAAGCCCTACACACAGCTGAATGTCTCAAAAAATCTTGTTCCGAAACCAGTAACTTCAGGGAATCTAGAATTCAATACATTTGTAATGACATATTACCATGTTATTACTTTATTCACTATCACAAACTCCTCCTCATCTATCTCAGTATCATATTACAAACTTACGTTTTAATGTAAACATGATCCACATATTACCTTTCTTCCTCAATAGTCTTCAATCCTACACTGTCTTTCCCATAACTAACTCTTGAAAAGAATTCTGTCACACACATTACAGTACTGGTTTATACAACAGATTTTCTCGCCTATAATTCTTCCTTTCTTGTTTCCTTTTTCCCCCTCATACAAAGGAACTATGCATACTCTGACAATCCTTTGCCTCACCTCTCATGGTTAGATTAAATACACTGACTATTCTAAACCTAGGTGTCCCATAGCTTGATCGCTAGTGCACTCCACTCACACACTGAGGGCCAGAGATCGAATCTCCTCCGGTACGAAAGGAAAACATTAGGGACATGTTTCCATAAGACACCTGCTGTCCCTGTCCCTGTCCACCCATCAGTTTAAAATAGGTACCTGGGTGTTAGATGACTGGTGTGGGTCACATCCTGGGACAAAACTGACCTAATTTGCCTGAAATGCTCAGCATAACAAGCAGCTTTCTATATACAGTAGAAATATGTCATTGATGTCAGCTAGGCCTGTATACCTTGTACATGTACTTGTAGTAAGTAAAGATATTATTATTATTATAATCCACCTGTCTCTAGAATCTGGGGTCTTAATCCATCTATTCCAGCTGCTTTACCACCTAACTAACCCACTGCCTATCCCACTTCCTCGATATTGACCTTTCTTTCCTACTGCTAACAGATTCCATTATCCCGTGACTTATGCATGAACTCAAAATACTCTCCATCTCTTCAATACCTCCCATTCCCATCCAACATCTCACCATTTTTACTTTTAACTGCTGAATTCATTTGCTCCCTAGTTTTTTTTTTTTTTTTTTTTTTTTGCATTTTTTCTCCAAAACTGGGCTTTATTCTCAACAGATATAAAACTTACCAGTTTTGGACATTTACAAAATAAAGACAGGTTTTATTTATCATGTACCTGTAAATCAAAACCATTTTTTCCACAATTCTAAACCACTTTGTACATTTGTGCAGAACAAAACAGTATAACCCTTTCAGGGTTGGTGCCGTACTAGTACGGCTTGCATGCCAGGGTTGGTGCCATACTAGTATGCACAAATTCTAGCGCTTTCAAATCAAGCAAGCGAAAGCTGGTAGGCCTACATATGAAAGAATGGGTCTATGTGATCAGTGTGCACAGTATAAAAAAAATCCTGCAGCACAGTGCATAATGAGAAAAAAAAAAACTCCGACAGTGTTTTTGCTTTAAAACAGTGACTTTGCAGTGTATTTTTGTATGCTATTTATGGTTGTATTCTAGTTTTGCTGGTTTCATTTTATAGAATGGAAGACATTTTACAGAAATTGAGATGATTTTGATTGGTTTCACAATGAAAAGTACCTTGAAATTGAGCTCAAAGTAGCAGAAATGTTCAATTTTTGCCAAAGTTCAAAAGTAAACAAATCATGCCACGTGTCCAATACACGTCAACTGGCGAGTCTAATATTCTTTCACAAGTGCACTGATATTATTTATACCATTTCTACACTAATGCAGTAGTCTGCATAACAGTAAATCTTCTATTTTTTTGTAAGAATAAAAATTCAAAGTGGAAAGCAAAAGAAATGTAAGGGCCTAGGGACGTGACTAATGAACAGAAAAAAATGCTATTTTAGTGCCAGGAATGTCTGTCTTGTTTATTCTGGACCCTATTTGGAAATTGGAATCTTTTGAAATTTGTGTGAAATTGGCAAAACTGCCAATTTCTGACCACTAAATTTATTGGAGAGTTGAAATCAGCAAATGGGTGGTTTCTTGTACTCACTCGATAAAAAAAATGGAGTTCTAGCAAAATAACTATGAGTTTTGCTGACTGGTACATTGGAATTGGCCGAAAATAGGGCTCACTTTGAGCGAAATCACCAATGCGTAAACATCGTCAAGACCACTAACTTCGCAAGAGCATAATCCCATAAGTTTTCCATCAAATTTCATACTTTTGGTGTCATTATGATTAGGAAAAGATTCTCTACCATTTCATAAGAAAAAATTATTTTCTTTTTTTCAAAAAATTTCCGACCCTGAGAACAAGTTTAGGAGAGGGCCTGCAGACCCTGAAAAGGTTAATAGATAGATGAACACCTATGTGCTCATTACTTGTGTCTGACATTTAACTAAAATTTATCCATCCAAACCTTAGTTTAAGAAGCAGGAACAGGAGCTGAGACTAGAACCCCGTATACAACTCGGTGAGTGTATGAGCTGGAGCTCCTTATAAAAAATCAGCAGAATCACAATTTTATTCAGTGCTGGTTGCCATGTGGGAATGCTGAATATGGGTACATAGTGTGCTCACCAGGCAAAGCTGCAAAAATGGAAAATTAGTGTTGGTCTACATTCTAATAACTAATCTCATTACCTAAGTAAATTAAAGTTACACCGAGCTGTAATATATATTCCTCATGATACATAATTTAAAAAAAAAAATTGAAAGTCAGAATATGGTACTGTATACATAATATGCATTATCATGTAATGAAGAGATGGGAAGACAGCTAAGTTACGTTTACAACTTGCTGATAGATATCTATATAGTATTGTGCACTATATCCAATTTTATACAGAGTAGCTCTTACAAATAATTATCAAAGTATTTATTGTCTGCAAGACACGAGTGAAGGTGAACTATGAATAGGGTACTTCTTGGATATTATTGTGCACAATATATTATAACCTACCTTGTAAACTCTGAGAATGCAATGAAAAGCAAAATTTTGTCTAACATGTACTTAAATTAGCTTTATTAAAGATGATTTTCAGAACTTGAGTTTTTCCTAAAAAGGTAGGCACTCACTGTGATGACCCATTCTCTTATATTTGGGTGAAAATTTACCATTCTCAACTTATCTGAGTGAGCCGAGCTCATGACATAGAGCTACGTGAGGGACCCTAGCCTCAATGATGTAGTTCTATATGACGGCCAATGAAAGGGTTAATGGTGTTAGTGTGACCAAACAGCATCTATTGCAATTTGAGCAATTAACACATTACTAGCAGCAAAATAAAAGGGATGCATGAAATGAATACAAGAAAGATGCACAACTTAGGGACTGATTACCTCATCTTTCACTGTTTTCTGTATATATTTCTACAGTCTTCAGAGTATGTCTTTGGTACTGTAGTGATAAAGCCACTGGATGGCAAAGCATCTACAAAATAAAAATACCCAGATGTTGTATACATGTTTAATTCATCAGTCTAAAAGATTTTTCAGTTACTCATACATAGCACACAAAAATGGCCCAGTATACAAGGGCTGAAGCAACACTGTATAAATGGTATGCTCAATGGTTTGCTGTTGGTGCTAATGTTCATTCTGTCGAACATCAATGTGCCAAAACAAGTTAGGCTGGTTTCATTCTTTAAACCTATTCCTCGTTCTATATCTCTCTCACCATCTACCTGTCTCTCCCACATCATTTGCAATGCTATTGCTGGAGCTTTACAGCTCCACTGACTGAGAAAAAGTTATTCTGGGTCACCACTAGAACAAATGGGAATAGTACACTGTATGGTGTGTCAGTTTAATTGAAACATTCAAAATAACATATTAGCTCATTTTATCAAATCTTTACTGTATTACAGACATGGTACAAGAGTGCATATAGTTAGGTGACAGTACGGCCTGACTCATGGGCAAGTAGGCCCTTTTTTTTTTTTATAAAGTACATAAGGGATGGAAAGAATGGGGAGTAGAAAAGGGGAAATCAAGATGCTGGTAGTAGAGTTATTTTAATAAAAGGATTTTCCACTACCAGTATCTTTATTACAGCCCACACTCTAACCACTCTAACCTTGCAGGTTGAAATGTGAGTTACATGAGCCAGACAAAGTGAATGCTAGTTTTTTGTTTGTGCAGCACTTTTTTTTTATTGTCTTTTACCTCAGTTTTTCTGTTGTAGCCTAACCTAACCTAGGCCAAGTCAAGTCAACCCAACCCAACTTGACCTGACCTTAGCTAACCTAACCTAACCCAATCTAAAAATGGGCAGCAAACCCTATGTGAAAGGGTTAACACAGTTTTTAGAGTGTGTGTGAGATCATACCAGAGAAAAGCAAGTTATAATATATTCTGTATCTCCCATCTCTCCTCCCTCCTTTCACCAGAGATGGGTCCATTGTTTAGTAGATGCATAATGGTATTATACCCTCATTTTATTAGTGTATAACACAGAAACCTATGAAAAAAATGATCAAAATATCAATAATAGTGGTAATAGCAGTGGTAGTGGTTGTTGAGGTTTTTGAGCTTCCCAGTTTCTAGGAAAGTAATAGTCCCCACAGCTGGGCAGAAGCAGGGAAAGGAACAGGAGCTACCTTTGAGAATAGAAACAGCAACAAAGTTCTTAATTAGGTCAGGTAGATCCCACACCTACACCCCAACAGAGCCAGATGCCCATACTCAATGGTGTCAGCAACTGGCTTCAACCAGGTTTTAGAAATATGCAGTAAAAATAGTTGAATGCTGTGATTTATTGCAAAACAAACTGGGTATTTTGAGAATGAGTTACCATCTCAGAAACAAGGTAACCTTGACTTTTGATGGGGCCCTGGGCCAAGGGCAAGGCACTGACCATGCAGTCACCAATCCAGTTACTGGCTAGACCAAACAATGCTTAACCTAGCAAGTTTATTTATATACAGGTACACATAAGTACAATTATCATACAAAGTGTGTATCTGTAAAGTAAAAGGACACAAGTGCTGCATCTAATGTGACATTTTATTGTTTCAACGTTTCGCTCTCCAAGAGATTTTTTAAGCCGTAGGTAATTCTACCAACATTAACAAGTAGTGTATATCACCTAGGATAGCCCCCCAAAAAGTCTGACTTATTTCCATTGGAACCTTTGACTTATTTCCCAACTAATAACTGTACATACTTTCAATAAAGATGGTATATCCCAAAAAATTTCACAGAGTAAAACTAACACTAAGAAATCTAAGCATAACATTCACCTGTCTTAAATTTACCTTACCACTTGATACAAAAAAATGCAAAATGAAGTTTAAGCAAACACAAATTGCCATATAAACTAAGGGTCCTTTAAACTTATAGTTAAAAAGCACAACATAACACTCTCTATGATACCTTTAACAGAAAAATGAGACATTTAATACAATATAATGGACAATGGTTGATCCGAGTGCTAGGCCTAACACCTAGCGTCTCACTATAAAACACCTCACGTCCTGATTAATTAAATTTAAATTCCCAACCACTCATTAATTACCCAAATGGTGACACTAATTAACAACTAAAATCGCTGGAACGTAATCAAAGAGCTTGGCGAGACTTAAATTACTGTCCCACACAACCCAGAGGCCCAATGCTTCAAGTTTTGGTGGCAAGACACCGTTATTTCACCCTCAAAGTGACTGTACACCCCACTAATACACCCTCAGATGGACAGAATAATGACACATTACTCACTCACACGTATCAGCTAAGTGTTGGCATGCGTAGATACGCAATAATGCTGACATTGAAGAGCACTGGGAGGTGTAGGGGCGCTGCTGCACGGTCAGCCTCAGCGTCCATGGCCCACCAGACCCTCTACCTCACTCTTTCCTTTACCTTATTATACACTATGTTGATTTTTATATTTTGTTAAAAAAACGTCAGATAACATGAAGGAAATAATATAATCAAAACATGAGGCTTTATAACGTTAGATCTTCAGGCAATTCTAACGTTCAAAAGGAATATTAGATAATAGATGTCATTTATCTTTACAAGTGTACATAAAATACAAATCTATTTCGATATGAGGTATATGGAATGTCCTGTTATAATTTTCACATAACGTCACCACTTCTGAACAATTAGACAGTCCTCGGGCAGAATGCTGTGTAGGCGCCTATACTTAATTTCACATGATACAGATAGATGCGCAACTTTATAAGATCCATAAGTTTATTTAGGAACAAGTACACATACGTATAATTATCACACATAGTGTAAATTACCTAGGATAACCCCAAAAAGTAAAAGTGACTGGTGCAAGACTTCTTCAAGTTACACCCCTCACTACAGTAGAGAATTCTCATATTAAGAGACCTCATCTCTCTGGCCCCATTAACACTGCCTTAACAGTTATAAAGTGTCTATATGCATCACCAACCTTGTACATCAGTGGTATATAATACCACTGATGAATTAGACACTGTGCACAATCTGGGTATCTTATTCTGTACACGTTTCGCCAACCAGTGGCTTAATCAATACAGTCCAGAAGACTGACAAGGTAGAAAATAAGGTAATCAGTCCCCCAGTCTAGGAGGAGGTGTTCAGTACTGTAGTCTTGATGAATCTGAAGCACAGGCAGCTGCTCCTAGGCTGAGGAACTATCTGATCTTCTACCATGTCACTCTTCTGGATTGTATTGATAAAACCAATGGTTGGCGAAACGTCTACAGAATAGATTTGCACATGTGTAGAATTCATCACCACCAGACTTGTAATATATTCACACAATACTTACATCAAAGTCTCAATCCTCACCTTCTAATTGGCAAGAGTGACTCCAATATTTTTTTTTGTCATATTACAGATAATTAAAGCGGTCAAAGAACTAATATTTTATTGGTATAACAGCAATAATAATGTCCCTTTATCTGTAATATATACAGTACATTCTTAACCGAAATCCCGCTGCAAATCATTATATGGTTTAAAGCAGGACGAGAATATATAACTTATAGCAGGACAGTAGTAGTATATACGACTCGTATATACTACAGTAAGTCCCATATACAGTCTAATAAGACATATATTCAACACTTAAATATCTTTATTCCTAACAGCAATAAAGATACCCAAGTGTTGCACATGTTTCAGCTATATAAACTAGAAAAACAAACAGTGTTGGGACCCAGTTCCTGGACCCATTATTTACCTCTGAATTTTGACTACCGTTCACAAAACATCTATATAAATTTATGTAAAATGTAGTAGTAGTAATAGTAGTAGCTATACAAAGCAAATGTGATGGGAATAATGGACAAGGAAGATGAAAGGGTAAAAATAACATATTAGAAGAGAGGGGAACTGACGTGCCCCTTGTCAGGATATAAAAGGTAAAGGAACGTGTTGAGTGGTTCGTGAGTGACGTCACAAGTCCCAGCATGCAGCACTGCCGGCGCACACGCTCAAATATACCCACTGATTGATTTATGTTTATTTTGATTTATATCGTCATTATATTTTTTATTACCTGCATTTAATTTAAACCTTTGCATCTTACACATAAGTAATATCAATAAACAGCGATGGTAAAGGAGGTTCAATAGTTGTTTTGGTTTAATTTATATACTGTATATCGGAAGGGTAAATTTATTATATAAAGAATATATACAAGATAATATAAAATTGAATAAGATTCATCGATACCATGCCTAACCCTTCTAGGGTAGGGTAGGTGCCTGAGCCCGAGCCTTTAGCTCATAAGACTGTCATTTCCATTAGCCCCCTTGGAGCGGGGATGGCAGACCAGAGAGGCCTAGCTTGTGGCTAGGCCTAGGGACAGTTGGTCCCAAAGATGAGGAGGTACTTGTGCCTCCTCCCATGGGAGACTTAGGTCTCATACACTCCCTAAAGAGGGAGCCAAGGCCGGGCCACCACTTGGAAAAGGCCCGGGCCGGGAGAATACCGGCGAATCTTTAATAATAATAATAATGAATAAGATTAAGAAAATATGGTTTACCAGATTATAATACAGATAAATACTGGCTGCAATAAGCACATAACAGTTTAGGTATACGATATTACATTATAACATCAGTGGTATAAAATACCGACAAGATGAATTAGATTATTAGACATGTCCAACACTTAGATAACTTTATTTTGAAGACGTTTCGCCAACCAGTGGCATTTTTTTCAATTTATTACATATATTATGTACAATGCCAGCAATCTATAGGAGAGGTTTGGGATATTTACTGTTTGAAATGACACCTGATCTGTCGTATCTGTGTATAGTCTGACAAGGCAGTGTGACGGTCTGGAGTTTTGAGACTCTCTGACCGCGGGTTCAAATCCCGCCCGTGGTATGGTTTGACAAGGCAGTGATAGCGTGAATGATGGTGACTCTTTTTCGGGTCACCTTGCCTTGATGGGAGATGGCCAGCGTGTTATAAAAATTATGTACAGAACTCTGAAGAAGAAAGATACTCGGTCTCTCAGCCTGCCACAATATACGTAATCACCTTCTCCCACTATGTAACTATTATCTAGAATGGTTTAGCAACACACTGCAGGTGTTCCCACTATATAACTATCATCTAGAATAGCGTAGCAACACACTGCAGGTGTTCCCACTATATAGCTATCATCTAGAATAGTGTAGCAACACACTGCAGGTACTCCCACTATATAACTATCATCTAGAATAGTGTAGCAACACACTGCAGGTGTTCCCACTATATAACTATCATCTAGAATGGTGTGGCAACACACTGCAGGTGTTCCCACTATATAACTATCATCTAGAATAGTGTGGCAACACACTGCAGGTGTTCCCACTATATAACTATCATCTAGAATGGTTTAGCAACACACTGCAGGTGTTCCCACTATATAACTATAATCTAGAATAGTGTAGCAACACACTGCAGGTGTTCCCACTATATAACTATCACTTTCTCAATCTCAGTTATTAGACTTAATTAATCTGAATCACAGGCGGGAAGATGCACGCCTAAATACTAGAGTTAGATGAGGTGCAGCAAATTTCGGAAGATAAAGAGATGCCAAAACTTTCAGACGTCGACATAGTTACTCTCTATGCGGCTGCTATGTATAATAATCTATGTAACTGTATTTATGTATACCTGAATAAACTTACCATGAAATACTACAAGACTTTGACCTTTGACGATGAATGTGACAAACTATGAACTGCACGGTAAAATAATGAAACCAATGAATTGAGTGCTGGTTACGATTTAAAGATGTCATAGCCACCTTAGCAGAATAATTTTATTCTCATAAGAAGATCATACCGCTTTTTTTAAACCACTCAGCCTTCCTCGACATAACGAACAGCTACTCAAGCCAGCACAAGAAGCAACATAGTTAAATTACAAACTCGACCTCCACACACAGGTTCCTTACCCTGCGTGGACCTGCGGCCTGTCTGCCAGTACAATGTGTCCTCGTTAGTAAGTTTATTCTGCTACAACTCACATAAATACAGTTACTTAAATTGCCATACATAGCAGCATATGTGTAGATTACCTAGGATAACTCCAAAAATGTTAGTGACACTTCCACTGGGATCCTGCTCAACAGCTGGGTTAAGCCCACTCTTACGAACTGGGGCACTCCTTCAGGAGGCAGTGATGGGGTCACCATTTAGAAAAAAAACTTTTAGAACTTTCTTCCTGGCGAATATACCACCACCATCATTATCATTATCATCATACGGATTATTGATTCATGCTGGGCAGATCTCTCTCATATTCAACTCTTTTCACCCATAACTGGTAATTGAATAAGTACCTTGGTGTTGCTGTGTCAGACAAGCATCATAATGTTTATGGTATACTTCTTCACTGCTACTTTATCATTTAATCACCTCTGTATTAAATTGAATAAGTCTGCAGAGCAGAGCCTAACGTTTTGACAATAAAAATAACCAGTTGTTGCAATATGTCTTATTGATCAACGTTGTGAGCAGCATCCTGGGCAGGGCAAGTCGGTTTACATTTACTACACCTATTTCCCTTGTAGTAAGCAGGTAACTGGGTGATAGTCGGCTGTTGTAGGTTGAAAGTTAAGACACATGTGCAACATCTGGATATCTTTATTGTAGACGTTTCGCCATCCAGTGGCTTTATCAATACAGATTCTAGGACATAATAGGAAGACAGTAGAACTATATAGGTGGCCCGGTGGCCTGGTGGTTAAAGCTCCCGCTTCACACACGGAGGGCCCGGGTTCGATTCCCGGCGGGTGGAAACATTTCGACACGTTTCCTTACACCTGTTGTCCTGTTCACCTAGCAGCAAATAGGTACCTGGGTGTTAGTCGACTGGTGTGGGTCGCATCCTGGGGGACAAGATTAAGGACCCCAATGGAAATAAGTTAGACAGTCCTCGATGACGCATTGACTTTCTTGGGTTATCCTGGGTGGCTAACCCTCCGGGGTTAAAAATCCGAACGAAATCTTATCTTAGGTTGTCAAGGAAAAAGCCTCAAATGCAAATAGGCCACATTACCTAATTTCGTTGGGTTATCCTGGGTTAATAATCATCTGGGGTAAATAATTCAAAGAATTTTCTTCAAGATCACTTGAACTCTGTATGATGATGGTCACACCAGACATCACTACCATGCACGGTGTCAGGAGCCACATGCACGGTGTCAGGAGCCACATGCACGGTGTCAGGAGCCACATGTACGGTGTCAGGAGCCACATGCACGGTGTCAGGAGCCACATGCACGGTGTCAGGAGCCACATGCACGGTGTCAGGAGCCACATGCACGGTGTCAGGAGCCACATGCACGGTGTCAGGAGCCACATGCACGGTGTCAGGAGC